CCTATCGATGAGAGAAGCATGGATTTTTTAAAAATTTACGATATTACTTAGTTACAGTGTGAGTAGTCTCAGAAACTATCATTAATTATTGGATAAAACTGCTATTTAGTTTGGATTAGAATATCTTGTGGATGACTTATTTAATTGTAGGAAAAACTCTATTGCCAGTCTTCAGTTCACCTTAAGTGACCCGGGTTGGTCAAGTACTTATGCAAGAATGACAGATAAGTTTTGAGGCATATTCACTCAGAAAGTGGTAGAAAGCAGCTGGATTTTGCACAATTCGCCATGTAAAGTGATGATACTAGACTATAATGTACAACGGCTCAGTCACTGTAGGTCGCTTAAAGTGATTTAAGTAGTGATAGTTGAGTTTTTCTAAGCAGTGAGAATAGTAGGCCTCAGGTTGAAATTGGATTTCACGTAGCCTTGCTTCCCAACAGGTGTTTTCATTCAGGCTGGACTGCAATTCGACTCCTGCCCAGGTCTCATCAGCATCTCCAGTGGGATTCGGATCTAAGTTATAAGTATCGTGGCGACGTTACCACTCCACAATGTGTCCACTGATGCTAATGAGTAATGGGGCATATAGCACACTCAATTGCAAATATGTGATTGTAATTGAAACCGGTGACATTACATATTTGTGTATATGTCGTTTTCGCTATTATCTGTACGTCTTAAGGTGATTTAAGGAATGAAAGTTGAGTTTTTCAAAACAATAAAAATAATAGGCCTAAGATTTACATTGGATTTTAGTTAGTCCTGTCTCCCAAAGGATCATTTCAATCAAGGATTGTCAATCAAGAAAATGTATTCTTGCCATTATTTTCGACGAGACTACTTATATATGAATTAAGTAGCTTTCTAGACTATTAGTCATTTTTAACAAAATATTTAAGGAGAGATAGGGGAGTTTTTTCACAACAACAATGCGCTAAAGTTCATATGACGTTTCCTTGCAGAAAACGTTAACCTCCTGTCTGGACCGCCTTGTTCTCATCGCTAAATGTTTCTCCTGAACAAATCTTTGCCTATACAAGTTGGCGTTGAAAAATATTTCCAATTTGATTATGAAAAGAAACTGGATTTCGAATGATGCCTTAATAACTCACGACGCTTTTTATTTATAGACAGGTTAGCGAGACTGCCAGTAGATTTTGTAGAAGAGCTGTATTCTGCCTAGTTCGTTTAAGATCTTATAAAAGATCGAGTGGTAGCCTCGAAATCCCACTTGTAAAACGAAAAATAGGTAATGTATTCGACAATCCCATCACATAAATGTGATATGGGGAAGGCTTGGTTGTCTTGAATATCACCTTTGCTGATTGTCCAAGGGCACTCGTGGCAGTGTGGTGTTATGGTTGGTGTGTTGTAAGAGTGACGACGGAAGAAAGCTTACCACATTTTCACCGGAATCGAAGGAGATCGCCTAAGAAACAATGACAACAGGAATACTCAAGTGAAGCCGATTGACGGCTGGCCAAGAGCAATCCACCTTCGTCTTCTGGTGGCATCGACCTTCGAAACTCTTCAACAAACATTTTCACTTAAAATTGAAGTGATTTTACTTATTATAAGCCAAACTACTCATCGAAACTCAACTTTTATTAGCATAATTTTTGTCTGTCCGATAATGGGAAATAGGGTTTAGTTGAAGATATGCAGACCAAGATGTTGTGGCCTCTGGTATGGTCCTAGAGAAATAGCATCTGGAGTGAAATGCACTTGGGGACTGGAACCGAGTGAAATCGGTCAACCAGAAAGAGTGGCAACGGATCTACGAGACAGTGAGGGGATCCGGATTGGAGGCCCGAGTCGGATCAGCCCATCGAAAGGGGCCAGGTGTGATTCGCCATAAAA